TCTTTAATATGTGTGCTCATACCTTTTTTAATTTTTGTCTTCAAAGGAAGGAAAGTTGTGTTTAGATGAGTTAACTTGGTCATCACATCAACAAACTTGATGGTGTTGTAGTTTTTCCACCAGGTGTCGAATTCTTGGGTGCAGTAAAAAGACCTCTAAAACTTAAGGGGTAAGATCCAAATGATTTTTAGCTTGCTCAGATAAAAGTTCAAGATACGTCTCCTTGGTCGTTCCAGCAGCACTCAAACACAAATCTTTCTTGCGTTGAAAATAAGAGTTAGGTTTGAATCGATAATGGCAAAAATGTCAAGCCACGAGATTGGGTTGATACCTAGAAAAGCCTACTTGAGTCTTCTTGGAGGAAATCCTAGTCGAAAGCATTTTTGGTGTGAGGAAGCCTTTCTAGTTTTTATGGATTCTGCTTGATGGGTTGGGTCGCGTTAAGGGAATCCTCTCGTAAACCATGCAAGGTCGTAACATCTATCAGCAATGGGGGACATGAGTTCAGTAAAATGGTATCTTTTTGTAAACATCATACATTACTTTGTGAAGCTTTGTTGTGTAGAAAGTCCCTTATCAGCATGTGTAAGAAGGGTCAGTCGGTTCCCATCAATGGCCTAGTCCCTAGGTCTTCCAACAGGGTGATATGTTTTGTTGGCTGTCAAATAAGGCTTGAAGGTGAGATTCAACAAGAGTTGAAAAAGCCATAAGGGACCTGCTAGCAGAAGTGTGCCCTCGGGATCTTTGGTCGAACTGAATCTCCTCATGGCACTAGATGCTAAGCTTGAAAACTTCTAGAGTGAAGCCAAAATTAATTGGCTAAGGCAGATACTTTTCCCAGCATGATGTTGATTAACGAGAGTGACAAAGGATTTCGCCACTTGTAGAGAGCTCGAGCAGAAAATATAATGTGACAGCCACAAAGACAAGAAGGTCACGTGCTCTTTATAAGAGACTTCAGTGGTAGCTTCATCGAAGTGGTCACCAAACAAGTTAGTTAAGCTAGCCCGTTTCGAATTAAACCCAATAATATCTTTTGTGTCGACAAAAGGGTCAAACACTTCGCCTGCTGATCAAAGACCAGTGATGGCGGCTATGTCGAACAGTGTTGGTGTGTGCATACCGTAGCGCAATTTAAAGATGTTCGTCAAACTCTCTTAAAATGAAGTGCAACTAAAAGCATGTTTTGGTTATATGTGGGGCCTACCCGGGATTATTGAATCAGTTCGAAGAGACTGTGATCCTTCTTGAATTACCCTTTTTGGGACTCCACCTTATTCAACTCATTGATGTAATTCGACTAATTGGTATAAGGGGCGGAACAAAAGACATGAGTGGTCATATAAGTTAAATCTAAAGGTTCTGTCATGACCGCTGAGGGTTTTATTCGATGGTAATAATGAAAAACTTCATTAATCCTAGTCACATTGATGTGTAAATCAGGAAATGGACCAGAAAAAGCATGGGTAACTTCAATAATGGTGAAAGAGATCAATACCTGTGATTTTCAAATCAGTGTCTTTTCCTTCTGAAGAGGAGGCTCGAAAACATACATTTGACTCTCGGTGAGAGTGGGTGTAATGATGGATGCAGCCACATGGACTTTTGATTTGGAAGATTATCTGTGAGCCATTTTATGTGATAAGAAGTTGAGTTTCTTCGTAAGAAGAAAAGTTGAAAGCTTTGTTGAAGAATGAAGAAAGTTGGAAGAAAAAATATTAGAAGAGTATAAGGGAACTATTTATATATTCAGAAGAAAAAAAAAGGTTCAATTTTTCTTGAAAAAAAATAAAAATGAATTTTTCTGACAAGTGTACCACTAAAATGTCATGGAGTGGAAAGTTGAATCTCTAGTATGGCTCAAGTTCTCCTAGGAACTTGGAGCCATGATGGATAGTCTGACTACACGTCTCGAAGAGAAGAGACGTTATATGAAATAGCCTTGACGATAATTATGTCACCGCACGACTTCGAACGATGTCGGAACTTCAAAAATGTCACCTGCCTCTTTGAAAAATAAAATAAAAAATGGAGTTTTTGAGAGGAAAAAATTCCAAAAGGGACTTCGATAGGGAAGCAAGTTGAAATTTCTCCAAACATAGAAAAATGTCAAGTTGCTTTTCAACTAAAAGACTTACCACTAGAATAATAGTATTTAGAGTTGAAAAGTCTGGTTGAGGACTTAGAAAAATTCTAAGAAGTTTGGTGTTGTGTCAGGTTCGATAGGTCGAAGAGGTTCGACTGGGAGCATATTCAAATTTCAAGCTGAAATAGCTACTATTTGGTTTTATCCAAATTAGCAAGCGTGGAAATCAAATCAAGCATTAGTTGACATACATAAATGATGTTTCGAACGAAGGAACATTTTAACGTTGGAAGATCGTTAATTTATATTATTATAAATAGAGGTTCTAGTGATAGGATCAAGGGTGAAAAAAACATTATAAATTTCTATTACACTAAAAGTACCCGCATACAAGAGAAACGAATTTTGCTGAAGAAAAATGTACTTGCCTAGTATTTTTAAATTTATGCAAATACACATTTTTTCTATTTAAAGTCTTTTTTGCACTTATTTCTTTTTGTATGCCAAGACTAATTTTCACACATTCGAAATAAGTTCGTTAGTCTATTTTCATAACATAGTTGTTTTACTAAAAACATTCACCATTCATTGCAAATAATTCAGCAGTATCGGATGTACACTTTATTTTTTCAAAAAAATAGTACAAACTTGTCTTGAAATTTACTAATTTGATCCTTCTAATAATTAAGTGAAAACTAAATGATTGTTTGCCAAAAACACTAGTGAACATAACTTTACAAGTACACCTCTGCTCCGTCATATCAAAAGCTATTTTGCAACCACGGTGAAATATACTTTTGTAGTATTGCTTCTTGAATTTTTCTTGTTTTTTCATCTTATAAAAGGTAGAGTCTAGTACACTTTTCCACTTTTCAATCATCTTCTCTGACTCCAAAATCTTAAACTAACACAAGTTAGGAAAAAATTTAGTAACATATTTCAAATCTCAAATAATCTCACTAGTGGACAACAAGTTACAATCAATTTTTGCACATATAGAATTGGTCGTCAAATTCACATTGAAATGAGAGGGATTCTTAGACGGTACAGAAATGAGACTACATAGTTGAAGAAAGACTTATAAGAATTGATTGGTATCACATATAATAACAAGATACATCTTCTTTTCAGTAGCTTAACAAATAAGAACTTCATAGTTAAGGAGGTTTGACTTGAAGTAATATTTAAAACGGTGATCTTCTAAAAAAATTTCCGTAAAACGTGAGAACAAAATATACTAAAAAGATTTGTCTTAATTTGTAAGATCGGTCAATAATCCTAAAATTTATATGAAGCATTACATATGTTCCATCATATATCCAGAAAATATAGTTAAAGAGATAATGAAAATAACTATCGAACCTTTTTGTATAAAATTAACGGTACTACTTTTTTCTGCATTCGACATGGTCTGTCAAAGAGATTTTGAGTGCTTCAATTTGTTCTTGATTAAATAGAAATGAGTTAGAATTTACATCAGCTTTTTTATGGTTAAAGATTATGTTACATTTTCTTTTCTTAGTTTTGAACTATTTGGCTTTTCGATAGTGTTTTTTGGTGTGGTGTGACCTTCTACAATGATCACAGTAGAGACGAATTTTCCATCGTGTGAACTAGTCGGAATAGGTCAAATCTTCATCTTGAGCAATTTGTTTATGGATCGCCCATAATTAGACAAAGCTAAATTGAAAATGGTTCACATCGTGCTATGTATAATACAGAGAAAAAGAGAAGAATTAATTTAATTTAGAAATAGAAAGAAATATTTACTTTTATAAATATTAAAAGTAAATGTGATAAAAACGACAGAAATACATAAGGTTCTCCGAGATGTGCACAGCATGATATGATCGTTACAAAATAGAATCTCGTGATTATGCGTAGCAAATTCTTTGCTGATCATCAACATAAAAGAATAATGTCCAATACGCTCCTCTAAATATAGGTTGGACTATAATCTACGTATGCTTTTTTCCAGAAAAACTCCTTAAAAAACTATTCTGCTTGAAGATACAAGCGATATTTTACCTACATGTTCATGAAAAAGTAATTAAGAATCATTAATATCACGTGTTTCAAACTCTATTCTTAACTTTTTCTTCATTTTGAGCATCATGATCTAATAATAGTAAACTCTTTCACGTGAAAGATATTACTTAGTCAAACAAGACAACCGAAAATTTTGCTACTTACCCTGGACGGTAGCTTACAAAAGTCACATATTTTATTTTGACTAATCCGTTAAACAATTATAGTAGTCAAGGTTTTAATTAACTACTGTAACACGTTTTCTGTTTTTGTCTTTAATTCGTTATCGTGAAGTTAAACAAACGCCTAAGACGTGTCATTAATAAGAAATTACTCTGTATTTATTCAACTTCTTTCTTTGTACTCGCATTTAAGATTCCATTATTTACTTTGGTGTTTATTTTCACTGATCAAGTCATTCTATTAATGATAATTGGTTGAGTGAGAAAAGAACCAACAGCACCACCACTCCAATAAAAACATAAATTACTTTAAAACGACTAGAGCCTCACTCTCGGATTTATTTATTGGTTCTGTTTGTTGTAGAGAGAGAATGGATCCATACCAAAGTCCCAACTAAATTTCAACTTGATCAAAACAACTCTCGTTTTCAAAATTCATTTCAACTTGATCAAAACAACTCTCGTTTTCAAAATTCCTTGATAATCTGCCCACACTTTCTGCTTTTACAACCAGAACTTCATTTCTCCACCACTTTAAATGTGGCTTAAGCTATAAGTTATGCAGCAAGGGATTCTCTAATGACTATTTTTTTTATTACTATTACTAAAAACTAGTCTAATTCTCTAGGGTGGTGAAAAAACCAGCAATACAAATTCCATGTCCTCCAGCACGAGACTTTTCTGATTACAGAGAGAGAAATCATTCAAAATCTTTTCCTTTTCACTCGGGAAATATCATCAAAACCATCATCACTCCAACCTTGTCCGCCATGCCTGAAACTTTCTTCTTGTTCATCCATGTTTCTTGTTCTTCTAGGTGGTCCATTTCCAGTCCTACCTTTCATGCGTCTATCAAAGTCCCTTTCCCTTAAATTGTTACCTCTCTCATGAAAATCTGACTCGTCTGAACAGAATCTATAATGTTGTCTAGGTCCATCTTCAGCATTAAGGTGAAAGTTCTCACCAACATTATTATTCGCACTGTTATAGGGAGGCCTGAAAGTTCTAACAGGTCCTCGTCTCTCACCAAATCTTCTCCTCTCCTCACCATTTCCTTCACTATTACTATGCTCTATCATCCTGCCAGAATGCATAGGCCCGCCACCACCAAAGTATTCATCATCATTATCTGCTCTGTCCCGGTGATCAACAACGTCAAATCTTCGGTTGTTCCTCATTAAAATCCTACCAGATGGACTCCTATTAGAAATTACAGGCCTTGGATGACCATGGTCCCTTGCAGAATCAATGTCCCTCATATCATTAGAAGGTCGTGATATAAATTGAGGCGAGCCATGTCTCCTAACCACTCTCTCCCCAGTGAAAACAGGTCGATCAGGGGATCTCATTCTGTCAACTCTGTATAATGGTGATCTTCTATGAGTCATTTCAGGATGGCCACCGAAACTATCTGGGGATCTTCTTCTCGGGGATCTCCTTCTTGGAGATGACCATTGACCGGGTGAACGACTCCTTGATCTGACAGGCGACTTCGAACGCATGCGAGAAAGACCACCCCTTCTCTGCATTGAAGAAAAATTCCTGCCCCTTCCCCTTGAAAATCGACCATCCAATCCTTCAAATTGTTGTGGGCGTGTATACACTGAATCTAGAGTATCGGCAAAACCCCTCATATATTTCTCACTGTGCCTCATACCACCCAACTCTGAACCATCTCCCCCAATACATCTACTATTCGGGCTAACCCCTCTTGGATTTCTATGCCCCATTTGGATGCCATCTCTTCCACCTGCAGGTGACCTTCTTCTTGGTGCAATGTAAGAGCCATCATTCAGTGGCTTTCTACCTAAACGTCCATTGACAACATATGACTCATCTGGTCCAACATTATTGTACTCCAGATCGGAGTCATCAATAGCAGATGCATATTTTGACCTAGTGCCACGGAACTGTTGGCTTGGACCATTGTAAAATTCACCAGAATATTCACGTTCAGATTCCCAGTCACCACGAATTCGATTATTAACTCTTCCTCTACCACGTCCAAAATTCAATCTAGAGTTCCTGTCTTGATGTCTTTCTCTTGAAAATCTATGGGGAGCATCAATATAAACATCATCTCTGAAAATCAAAGCAAGAGAAACCACATTAGTAACTGAATACAACTTAGTTTAACGTAAGAGGGAAAATATTAGTATATATAGGACTAAAAAGCTCACCTTCCTCTGTATAACTTGTCCCCATCAAGTGTGTCAGACAATACATCTCTTCCAGCTCGAGTCGGAAGTGATCTGCCTGAAATAGGCCTGGTTTTACCAGGGGATGAGGAACTAGCAGCTCGTGACAGATCTATTATTCTTCCTTGATTACCACTGTTACAAGCATCTTTAGTTATATCTTCAGTATTTGCATATCCTTCCATCTTAGGAAAATCAAAGTCAGTATGTCTAACTGTGTCAGTTGTTTTCAGAACCTCATCAGCACATTGGACATCTATCACATGGCTTCCATCAATGGCATGATGGGAAGGATGTACAGTCTCCTGAGTTTCAGAGACAATTGTTCTTTCTGAAAGATCTAATGGTTTTCTTTCCAAAACATTAACTGGTCTCTTATCAGCAGCAATATCAGATTTTTCACCATCCAATGACTCTTGCATACACACATTTTTATCAATGACTTTACCAAGCTTCTCATGCATTGGAATGTTCACACCATCTTTACCAATTATTTCATTGTGGATTACATCCGTATTGTCATTTACCACCACACGAGATGAAGTGGGATAATCATTACTCACAACTCCTTTCTCCACTGGTTTATTATCATAATTACCTAAGTCAGGATGTTCGACCTCTCTTACCTCACATATGATGTCCTCCACTTTGGAAGGCACCAGTGGTTCTCGAACCTCACCATCCTCGTAATCATCATCTTCAATGTAACGCCCAATGTCTACAGCAACAGTTACAGCATGGTTGTCATCTGACTCTAAATCAGAACCATAAGAATCATCTTCCAACATATCAGCAGACAAGGTTATCTTTTCTTCATCACTAACACAGCCTTCACCACTGTCTCGTGGATCAGAAGGCTCATTCATGAGTTTCAATCTGCAACCATCATGATCATCGGCAATTTCTTTCTTGGTAACAATAGAAGAATATTTCAAGCCATGATTAGTCAATTCTGTAGCAGTACCAACCATAGGAAAAGCAACTGTTACCAGAGGAACGTGCTCAGGATTTGAAGAAACTTCCTCACATACTTTCTCAACATTAACTCCTTCCGCGCAACTAGAATTTTCCGGTTGACCTATTATATTACTGGTAGTTAATACTGGTGTACAGACAGCTTTCACAGCAGGATGACTTCCCTTTGCAGAAACTTGTGTAGAATTCAATACAACTGACCCAGTCATGGAAGTAGAAGAACTTAACGATATTTGTGGCAACACTTTACTCAACTGACCTGTAGCAGTACTCTCTGCTGTTTTGGATCTTTCCTGACCACCCTCGTGACTTGATTCAGATTTAATGAATGTAGAATCAACCAACTTTGAATTGCTAACGGATGAATTAGATGGCTTGATAACTGAATGTTGAATAAATTCTTGTTTTACAGCAGCAATGTCTAATGAACCTACAGGACCAGTATTAACTTCTTTCAAATTCTTTTTTAAATTATCATCATATGGCTCTGGCTTTACCAACCTAAAACTAGCAGTATTTGCATCACCAGCAGTACCTGTCAGACTTGGCAAACTAACAATGGGAGTAGCATTGCCTGAATTTAGTTTAACAGATATTCTAGAGGGCTCCTCAACATGCTTCTGAACATAAGATGAAAGACGAAGATCAGGTGAATGCACACATTTAGACTGCAGACCCGGTGAAGTAATGAAAGCTCTGTTCTGACTCTCTATACGTGCTTGCGTTACAGATATAACACTTGTTGGTGGTGTCATCCCAGTGGGGGTCGTTAACTGTTTCTCATCAAGTGCATTGTGAGTAATATTCAACCCATCAATAGAAGTTTTAACAGAACTGGCATCACTCCCTTCATCCCATGCATCCATTGTAGTATTCAGATCCCAGTTAGCCCTGCTATTAACACGAGTAGTGTCACTATCACTTTTAGCATCAGTATTTGAACTATGAGTACTGCATTCCTCCTTGCTCAAAGATAATTCCAGTGAGACAGGTTCTCCTTTATCAAGATTGGGATTTAACTCGCTAATTTCCGAACTTGTAACAGATGCAAACAAGTGCTCCTTAAAGCTTAAAGATAGGCTAGTACTTCCAGAAACTACTGGACTCTCTTGTTTAAGTGTGTCTTGGACAATTTGTTTGCTCACATCCGCTCCAGTGCTAATTCCAGGACCTTCTTTTGCAGCCAATGAGAGTTCTGTATTTGGCTTAATTGATTGGGATCCCAAATTTGAATCATTACCTTCATTGAGGACCACCTTCTCTTGGCTATTCACAACAGTCAAAGTAGGCAATGGAGTTTCAGGGTTTGATTTCTCCTGTTTGGGCTCAAGCAAAGATTTTTTTTGCCCCATGTCAGCATTGGTAACATCAGAACTCAATTTCTTTTCTTCAAATACAGGGTTTCCAATGGTAACATCAGAACTTGATTTCTTTTCTTCAAATACAGGGTTTCCAATGGTATCAGACAACCCAACAGAACTAGTGGAAAGGGTTGAACCCAGTGACATGCTTGAATGTTCCTTTCGCAAGGCATGACCTTTTGCTTGACATGAAGCCTCTTCCAAAGAAGGTGAAGAAGCTTGAAGTGTAGAAGGAAACCTCCTTTTCTTGATGGGTGCACCTGCAATACTGACATTTGATAGACTCGATCCTTGAGAAGTGCTTGAATTTTCTTTTCGTTGTAAATCAGTTACTTCAGTGATTGAACACGGTTCTCCAGAAGGAGTTGGAGGAGGAGGAGAAGAAGACCTAAACAGAGGTGGGTACCTCCTTTTCTTGATTGGCACACCTGCAACTAAATCACTAAATTGACCAGCAAAGGACTTTACCCCACTCTGTCAATATAATATCAAGTAATCAATATCCAAAAAAGAACAAATTGGCATGGTTCTCTAATCGTAGTTAGCTGTAAATCAGAAAGGAAATAAACACCTCTTCATGTCCTGAAATCGGCATGGTTCCAAAGTTCTCGCAATAATCAACTCAAAACTTTTCTTTCAAACTTCAGTTATTAAAATCCAATAGCAACAACAAATCTTCAACAAAAATATTGAAGTTGATAAAAAATTCCTGCACCGAACAAACTATTTGTGAACATCACTTCCAAAAAATACTTCCACTATCCAAGTAAAGTAGATCCTAGCCTTAACCTCACTTCAAACACAGTATCAACAAACCTGCCAAATAAAATCATGGATAACCAAAACAAATTAAATTAAGTAAAATATTAATTACATATTAGATCCAAAACTAACTAACTAACTAACTACCAGTCACAACAATTAACAAAACCAATGAATACTGAAAACACTCAGAGTAATCACAGTAAATACGAAGAAGAAACTAACTACCGACAGTTGATTTCTCCAAATTTCTGAACAAAATCAAAGTCCAAACTTCACCAACCATATATATAAAAATCAAACGTTGAAACAAGATCCGTTCATGAGATAATAAATGTTATATCAAAAGAAAATTAAAACAAATAAAACTGAAAAAGTTGACAGAATCAAGTAGCGTGGAGCGAGAAAAACTATGAATGAAGAAACAGATCTAAAACTATAAACAAATAGCGAAAAAATAAACAAGAAAAACCGAAAGTAATGCATAGGGCAAGGAATCATCGTTAAAATAAATATACCGAAAATTGCAGGCCGTGGAAGAATCAAACAGAGTAATTAAAAACAAAAACCAGAGGAAAAGTTTCAGATCTCGACGATGAAAAAGAAGAAGAAGAGGGAGAAAAATACCTGATAAGAAAAACAAGGTTGTGGTGTGGAAAAAGGGTTTTGCAACTTCGACGAAATAGCGAGAAAGAGAGAGATTATAAACGAATAAACGAATCTGTTTCTCTCTCTAAAACACACACTCTGTTTCTCTCTCTAGAAATTAGGGTTTGCAATTTTACGCCGAATTTATTGAATTATTTGACTTTGTGAAAGTGTGGGCTTATTCTTGTCTATCGACGTGACGCGTCAACTAATGAGAAGCCATGTGTTTTTCTTTTGACGTGGGGGGTTTTTGTTCGTTGATTTCTTATCTTTTAATATGGACCGTTGGATGAAAAGTAAAGACTTTTTGATTTGGATCTATTCTCGCTGGACCCTCGTGTCGCGTTCCTTATACCTAATCTTCTTACGTTACGTTCCACCAAAAATATGATATTCAGTTAAATGTTTTACGGACGAAAAATAAAATAATAATAATAATATATTAAATAATTTTGACATACGTGTCAAAATAAATAAGCGATAATAATTTTCATGTTTAGAATATTTTAGTTGGTTATTATTTCAGGTAACATTACCCTTATTTATTTTATCTATTTTTGTTCGGTTCCATTTTCATTATTTATAAGAACATTGCATGGTTCATTTCATGACCTTCGTTGAACATTAATAACAGAACATGGACATGAATTCGGGTTCGGATCCCACGCGCCCGCTTTTGTCTAAAAATGATCGGAACTCCACGGAACACGACGGTCGAAGAACCCGAATCCCTCGCCGGAACTCCGTTAACTCTCTCAGATCCGCTTTCATGTCCATGCTCCCTGATAAGGTCCGTTCTAACCTTGACTCCAAGTCTCCTTTCGATGTTGATCTCTCCAAAGTCACCGCTTTGAGCCAAGGTCTCTCTCTTTCTCTCTCTCACACACACACACTTTTTCTCTCTAAATCTATATGTATATGTATATGTATAATGAAAGTTGAACGTGTAGGAGTGAAAGATTACTATGAAAAACAAATAGCTACTCTGAAATCATTTGAGGAAGTGGATGCGGTGGTGGAATCTGACGGCATTATTGAGGAAGATAAAGAGGAACTGGCTCAACAAGAAAGAGCAATGAAGGTTTCAAATTATGCAAATATAGTTTTGTTGATATTGAAGGTATATTCTATATTGATTTATCTATTTCATCAATTTCAAGTCTTCAAAAGTTGTTTTTTTTCACTTAGGACAAAAGCTACTTTTTGGATTAAATTTTATTTAATTCTTGATAGAGGACAAAAGCTATATTTTTTTGGGTAATGTTAACTTGTGCCCTTGGGGCACATGTTAAGAACTAAATTAAGAAATATCATCTTGAAAATTGTGTACAAACTTAAATTAAAGTATAAAATTAATTTTTAAATTGTGTTTTTCAATACAAAATTACTAAAAGTGATTTTCTTAACATGTGCCCAAGGACACAAGTTAACATTACCCATAAACTTTAAACTAACATTTTTCAAACTTAGTTATTAAGTTTTGTAAATATAATAATATAATAAATTAGTACTTGACCAAATTTAATTTGTTTAAGTCAATCAATTGTTTTGATATTATTATTAATTCTTAATGATGATAATATTTTGGGTTAGAACTAGGGCTGGCAATGAACCAAACCAACTCGAAGATAGTTCGGAATTCGACTCGACAATTAAATCGTTGAACTAGATTCATGAACCAAATGAGTTGAGTATGAGCGAAAAATTAAGTTCGTTAACTAAATGAGCTGAACTTGAACTATACATAGTTCGACTCGTTAGGTTCATGAGTCAACTCGATTACATATGAAAAGAATTATACTATCCTTAAGATTAGGTTTAAATATTTACTTCAAATCTTAGACAAATTTAATCTTCAATTTATTAGTTTTTGAATTAGACTCTCAAATGTATCTCTTGAAAGTTGTGTAGGTTTTGAATTAGTAGATTTCGAAGATAAAGTTAAATTTCAATATGATAACTTTTATTTTATTTTAATATTTTATTTAAAAATATATATATTTATTTAAAATGTCAAATATACTAAAAAATATATATATTTAAAAAAATAGTTTTTAAGTTCGTGAACCATGTGAGCTAAACCTAATGAGATGAACCTAACGAGTCGAACCGAACTGTTCGTGAACTTATAACGAGTCGAGTTTGAGCTTAAAAAAAAGTTCGTGTCGAACTCGAACTCGAACTCGAATTCGAACAATTCTTAACGAGTCGAGCCGAGCTGAGGTGAGTTCGACTCGACTCGACTCATTTCCAGCCCTAGTTAGAACTGAAAAAGTCAAATTAATTGTAATTATTATATGGATAATAATGTCATTAAATGATAGTTAAATTGGTGACATTTGTTTATATTTCTTTTCAATAAATATTAGTATCTCTTTTTGTTTATTGTCAATCACATTAAAAGTACTTATGTTATTTTACAATTTAATTCTTAAAATATATAAAAACACTGAATTAATTAATTTTATCATCAAATCAAAAGAAAAGTCTACACCAAATTAATGATAAACCCTTTTTCGTGAAGTGTATATATTAGAACGTGAGAGGTAGTGTCAGATTTGTAAATAATTTATTTTTAAGAATAGATTTCAATTATTTTTTTTAGTTAAATCTTTATTTTTAAGAATAGATTTCAATTGTTTTTTTTTAGTTAAATCTTAGATGGTTTTTGTAAAGTTTTCTACCAATAGACTCCATTTTAAAATAATATTTTTTTTATTCACAATAGATATATTTTTTTTATTTGTTTTAAATTATTTGTCTATTTAGAATACCAATGAATATTTATTTATTTTACTGACTTGTCCTTATTTATTGTATTTTAAATCATGTAAACATTCCACTACATATTATTAATGAGATTATTTTAATAAATGATATTCATTTTATTATTGAAATCAACACAATTAATCTCAAAGAGAACACCTATTATGAGATGGATGGAGTGGTTGTTAATAATAGAGGTACCTAGACCCAAACCTCTGGTGCTTTCGTGACTCTAACTTAAACCCTAACATTTTATTGATGATCAATTCATTTCCTTCACAATTAAGCTTCAAGATACGTCGTTGGGATTGATTGCAGCTTATGTCTCAACTAATTATGTAACAAGAGTATACCTCTGGAACAGGTTTTCTAACACTATGTCAAACCATGATGTTCCTTGGTGCTTTGTGGGAGATTTCAACATAATCTTAGAGGCTCGTGAATATATGGGATCTCATCAATCTACTAGAATTTCTATGGAGGATTTCAACTCATAGATTGAATCTAATCACCTTTTCCATATCTCAACCACAAGCATATGGTTTACTTGAAACAATGGTAGAATGGGTGGTGTTAACACTCGGAACAGGTTTGATATGAAAATTTGTAGCCGTAAAAAGATTGATAATTGTTATAGCATTTATTGTACAACTTATGTCAAATCAAACTATGGCCATTATTCTCTCTTGGTAGATTTTGATTGTCATGTTGAAAACATCATTTCTCAATTTAAATTCCTTCAAATGTGGAGTCGTCATCCTAGTTACGAAGATGTCATCACCTTCACCTAGTCCACAAAGGTTATGGGTTGTCCTATGTATATCCTTAACATGAAACTCTAACTTCTTAAATCTAATTTAAAGTTTTGGAATAAGAATACTTTTGGTAACGTGAAGGATAATATGGGCATAGTTGAATCCAATCTCAAAATATTAAAAATCTAATTGCCTCTATAGGCCACTCTGACATTCTTGCAGGCAATCTCAAAGATACTCAAGACCACATTCTTCTCACGTTTGAGGTAGTTAACTTAATCCACAATAAAATATATGGAGACAACATTGCAATGAAAGTTCATGTCTCTAAGGTCTATGATATAATAAATTGGGATTTTTTATCAAGGTCCTGCATAGATTTAGTTTCAATGAGATCTACTGGATCAGATGCATCCTCTCATCTACTCAGGTGTCTGATTTTATCAATGGCCAACAAAGAGGCTTCTTCGCTTATAAGCAAGGGATTAGGCAAGGATACCCATTATCCCCTTTGTTTTTTTCTTGGCTAAGAAATATTTAAGTGGGGGCATCTCAAAGCTTGCATTTCTCAAGAAATTCAATTGATTAATATCATTAGGAATCATAGTATCCTTTCCCACACACAATATATTAATGGTATTATGGTCTTCGTTAAAGTTAACAC